CTTGATTTAGTTAAATAGTTAAAAGTACATTTAGTTGACACTGTTATTAAAATGGGATCTATTTTTTTGTTTTGTTGCTAACAGTTGAGATCTACTTTTCCGATGAAGAAAATATGGATCCGCTTGTATTTTAAATTGGTATTTCTAGAGCCAGAATTATAAATGTAAAAATTATTTGTATGAAAATTCTAAAAGTGAGGATTGTGTATATCTTACGAATTAGTAAATAAAATTTAGTAAATATAAACTTTTGTTTGGTAAATTTTGACCCAAAAGAATAGGGTGATAAGGAATTAGTGTAATTAGTATATAACTTTGTTTGAGAAAGTAAATAAATTTATTACGGGACTAATCCTGATTGGAAAAAAAATTATTTGGCAAAGTAAATAAGTTTACTATGGGACTAATCCTGATTGGAAAAGAAATTGTTTGACAATTATGATAGTGTGAAAAATCGAATTAATTAAATAAAAAAGTTGGGTGATAACACAAAGCAAAATTGTCCTCCAATCTCTGTTAATATAATAATGTTTAGTTATAGGGATTGTTTCATTAAGTGTATTTAGATAGTAATAATGATAGGAATTTAATTATTAATAAAAAAAACTTAGAAAATTTGAGAGTTTGACACTGTATAAAATAATCTAAAAATGTGTTTTCTTTAATATATAAAAGAATATAGAGCAATACAACAGTAAGATTTAAGGCCATGGATTTCTTTAGTATTCATATAAAAAAATTAAACATAACAAAAATAAATATTTTTTTAGTTGTGCCTTAGAAGACAAAACTTATTCGAATTTTAAAAAAAAAAGTAACAAAAACTCATCATTCGCCTTCATCCTTGGTTTTCGGTAATTCCTTTGGAGTGTTGTTTTACCTGGTAGATTAACAAAATGACATGCATATGTTTTAGTTGAGGATATTAATTAGTCAAACATTTAAACAATAAATATTGTATATGTTCCACTTACCGGTGAAGAATATCGTTGACTTCACATCTGAAATGCAGGGAAATCCGTAGATAAAATTGCTCTATGATCTGATTAACAATATGTAAATAATTTTTTATCATTTTATGAGTAATTAGGTTTACAATATGAAAAACTAATTGAAGGAACATACATCTCAAATCTTTAATTGTTGTAGACCGCAAAATTGCAATTTTCTTCAAACCGGAGTTGTTATTCTAAATAAGTTGAAAATTTTGACCGTGTTTACCCACAGAAAACATTCCATTAACAAATCACTGATTTTATTTACATATCATATTAGTATATGTTTAATTAAAATTCATTTTTATAAAAAGCCAGTCTAAAGTGAAGGACAACTTACTTTGTAATACAGAGTTTTATTCTGATCATTGATGTTTTTGATCAAGATAATGATGAATTAAAGTATTGTAAATGGACCAACTTCACCAGTAAATCTAAAATAAAAATTAACAATTTATAAAGTAACTTTGATAAATAATTAAAATTGACTATAAAACGTACCAATCAAAAACTCTGGATCTTTTGTGTTGTCATGAATTTCATCAAATTTTGCAAATTGAAATTAATGGAATAATATGTGGCCTATCAAACATCATTGTGTATTTTGAATTTTGAAACTATGTTTTTGGAGTTGGTGATGAGAATGAGAATAAAGATGAGGTAGATTGACTATTTATAAACTTAACCGTGTGTAATTTTGTGAGTAATTAATATGATAAGATTTTGTATTGAAATAGTTAAGAAAATACGTGATACGTGGGATTGCCAGTAGAAAATCTAAGGTAGTTATAGCAAATTGGGTAATTTTGCTGAGAAAATATTGGTTAGTATCTGATACAAAAATTATATTGTTTATTTGCGTATTACATTTGTAAGATCAATTGAAGATTGTTTATGGTTAGTTTCTTAGTGGTCAATAAATCAATATACTTTATTTCTGGAAATATGGAATATGAAATATTTTGTTTGCTAAAGACCTCATATAGTTTCGTTATATACAATAGTAAATTAGTAATGCAGTTATGCTCCTGAATAATCGGAAAAATAATTTAATGCAGTTATGATGTGAAATTAAATAATATTTTAATTAACATTTTCAGATTTTAAGTAAATTAAAATAAACATATTTGGTTATAAAGATTGTGGGAGGAGGAAGTGTTTGGATTGTAGAATAAGAGTTAATTTTATAGCATTTAATTATTAATAAAGCTGAAAAAATATTTAGTATATAATTTTAAGATATAGAGAATTTAATTATTTAAAAAAGCTGAAAAAATTAAATTTAAACTAAAAAAACTGAGTTAATATATAGATAATTTAATTATTTAAAAGGCTGAAAAAACAAATAATTAGTATAGGATTTATTTCGGATATAAACTTAATTATCTGAAATTAATATTGTAATTAATATTTTTGGATTTAAATTTAATGAGATTAATTATGTTTGGCTAGTGGAATAGTAGGAGTGTTTGGCAAGAAGGATGTTTGGTTAAAAGGATAGTAAGAGTGATTATTAGAAGATTTTAATTATTTAAAAAAGTTGAGAAAAAATCTAGTGTTGACACCTAAGCAAAAATTACCTCCCAATGTTTCTCCCAATTGTTATTGATATAACAACTAATATCCCTAAAATCTCTCCCTCTAATCACGTTCTATAACTCTTAAGAATAACTGTTTACTCTATTTAAAAATCAAATTAAAAAATCATCTCCTTTTTCTTAAGATCAACGTACCT